CCATGCCCCCCACCCGTGGCCTCAGCCTTCCCCACACCCCTGGAGAAGTAGAGGGAGACATGGTGTGTGTTGGTTTCTTTATTAATTCATAGTCTGATAGCTGGTGTAAAGGGAAATGATCTATAGATCAGGGGCTAAGACAGGGAGATCCAAAAGGCTTGTTTCCATAACAATTAAAAAAAGGAAATAAAAGTAATTTTTAAAACTTCTATGGTGTGTTTTGGTTTCTTTATTAATTCATAGTCTGATAGCTGGTGTAAAGGGAAATGATCTATAGATCAGGGGCTAAGACAGGGAGATCCAAAAGGCTTGTTTCCATAACAATTAAAAAAAGGAAATAAAAGTAATTTTTAAAACTTCTAAAAAGCATCTAGTGTGCAGACTGCAGCATTCTCTAGGCTCAACGCCGGGTGCAGCCTCGCCCTACCAGCCCTACGAGCAATCTGAGCGCAAAGCAGTATCACTGCCGGTGCCTGGCACGGTCGCAGCACAGCACATTCCCTACGGCGCACACACGGCCAAAGCACAGGACCCGCACACAGCTCTACGGTGATGCTACAGCGGCAGCTGCTGCAGCGGGTCGAGGGAGGTTACTGTACACAGCAAGGGTGTGCCTGCATGGCTCAACTTCGGGGTGGGGAAGGGGCTGCTTTGCTCTCAAAGGCTAAGCTGGGTCATTTGCTTTGCTGCAGCTAAGCTCCTTCCCGACTGCCGGGCAGCCAGGGGCTGTCCCAGCTCACACGCACCCACTGTGAGTCAGGGCTGCCCTGCCAGGGCCACCATCGCATGGCCTGAAGCGGGAGGTGGGCTCGTTCTGCACGTGGCCACAGAGCCAACAGGTCCATGGCCACCTCCAGGCAAAAGAGCACGGGGGTCTCCACCCCACTGTGCTACAAAGAGTGGGCCCCCACGTTGGTTAGGTACAGGACAGAGTCGACTGGGCCCCCCCTGCCACTACCTGCATCTGGCCCTCCTGGGGTCAAGCATTGTAGCAGATTCAGCGTACCGCACATCTCCGAGCTGCCCGGGCAGCTCTGCCCACCTCTGCTCTCAGCAGCCCCAGGGCTGCGCCCGCTCCTGGGGTGACTGCCTGCTCACGGCTGCTGCGTTTCCCCAGGCCGAGGTGCAGCTGCTGGGGCAGCAGCCACCCTGTCTCTGCGCACAGTCCGGGGAGGGTCAGCAGCCATGTGGCCCACGGGCTATGCCCATTTGTGCCCTTGTAGGGAGGCCAAGGGACCCTGCAGAGCCCTTGCATGGGGTATGCAGTGCAGGGCTGCTGGCTCCTGCCAGCTCCTGGCTCATCTCCTGGGCAGATATTGTACTGAGTAGAGATAGGCACAACCCTGTGTGTACTGCACAAGCATCCCCTGCTCTGCCTCACTACCATCCTCCCTGGGCATCAAGCACCTCCGTGCAGGCCTACAGCTTCACCCCAGCTGGAGCCAGTACACACTGGGGCTGGCACCATGGACAGGCCCATGGGTCTGCACCTGTGGGCCCCTCTCTCCAGGCCAGGAAAGGCCCAGGCTCAGCTGGAGGGGCACAGGGCAGGGGCAGTCGGCTGCCCTTGTAGTCCTGTAGCCTCCCAGCTCCGTTCACCAGAGCTGCTCACGTATTCCAAAGGTTTTGCCCCTCCTGCAGCCTGAAGAGGTATTTGGGAGTGGAGCTATTAGTGCTTTGTACATACTGCTAGAGTGTCCCTAGGGGTTTGCATAGTATTTATTAGTTCATATACACAAGGCTGATTGCTGTACAGTTTACACTTTCAACACAAGCAACGAGCTCAGTGCTCAGCCCAGAGCCCTGCCCTGGCAGGAGACGTTGCACGTGCTGGGGAGATGAAGGGCAGCCCTGCAACCAGCCCCTCTGCCCAGGGCAGTTGTGCTCCTGCAACCCCACCTCGCACACCCCCTGCAACTGCTGCCCTCCCCATCGCCCAGCACTCACTGAGAGGGATGAGAAGCGAGTCCAGCAGAGGCAGCACGTGCGACAGCGGGTCAAGCCCCTCTCCTTCCACGGTGAGCAGTGCCCTGCTGCCCCAGCTTCTCTCTTGCAGCTGGAGCACAGGCGTGGGGATGCACACGTGAGGGTGGAGTCTCCTTCCCTCTCGTTTTCTGCCAGTCCAGCTCTTGCCTCCCAGAGGGGCTGAGAATGCCCCGGTGCGTGCTGCTGTCTCTGGGCTCCTGGCAGCAGCGGGGCAGGGACAGAGGCCCCTCTGTCAGTTTTAAGTACTGTAGCTCATGCGTCTTGCAGTCAGTCAGTCATGCGGATAGGACGGTAAGTATGTCTCGTACAGAAATCATGCCATTAGCCTACAGAAACATGTACAGCCAGCCCTGCTCCCCTCCACTCTCTGCTTTCCTCTCCTCTCTCAGGTATTTGTCAGAATGCGTGTGGAGTTCAGTGGTTTGGTGTTGAGGTGAGATCCTGGAAAGACACAGAGAGAGACAGAGATGGGGTTACCCATCATTCATGGCGGCACAGCCAGGAGAAAGGGTGGGGGCAGCCAAGTACGTGGCAGTCTCAGCCCCTTCTGCACCCTGTGCTTGTCCCACATGCACTCATCCTGCCCAGCTACCACAAGGAAAGTTTGGGGGGCTGTCAGAGAGCACCAGTAAGCGCCCTGTCTGGAACCAGCAGCAATGGCATAGATGGCATTGATGGTGCTGTCCCAGCTGCAGAGAGCAGCAACAAGTGGGAGCTGAGCTGCACCAAAGGCAATGTGGCACTGGGAAGGAGCTGGGAGTGTTGCTGTAGGCTCTGGGATAGAGGAGGCCAGCCCTGAGACCCAGCCTCAACCAGGGTGACTGGCTGCCCCCCACTCTCATAGAAGTGGGTAAGACCCCATACATTCCTAATGCACACCCTAGGCCACTTTTGCAAGCTATGGAAAACAGGAAGAGAGAAGGCTCTGGGAGACCTTAGAGAGCCTTCCAGTGCCTCAAGGGGCCTGTGAGCAAGCTGGAGAGGGGCTTTTTTACATGAGCATGGAGTGATAGGACAAGGGGTCATGGCTTCAAACTAAAAGAGGGGAGATTTAGATTACATACAAGAAAGAAGTTCTTTGCTATGAGGGTGGTGAGGCCCTGGCCCAGGTTGCCCAGAGAAGCTGTGGCTGCCCCCTCCCTGGCAGTGCTCAGGACCAGGCTGGATGGGGCTTGGAGCACCCTGGGCTGGTGGAAGCCGTCCCTGCCCACGGCAGGGGGGGGGAACGAGATGGTCTATAACATCCATTCTATGGTTCTGTAAGACCAAAGCAGCGGGAGCGGTGCCCCAGACAGAGGCAGACCCAGGGACTGTCTGAGGAGTGGGGCAGGCTGTAGGTGTGGGGACACAGTGTGTATGAACACGTGTCCACAAGCACAAGCCTCTTGACTGCCATGCACCCACAGAGAGCCCACTAACCAAGTGGAGAGAGGAGGGAGAGGGAGGACGGACAGACACAGCCATGCATGTCCAGCGGAGGCCAGAGGACTGGCCGCCCCTGCTTGGCAGCCTGCTCCCTGTCTCTGGCAGTGCCTGGCAGCACGTGTGCAGCACCTTGCCCCAAGTGCGGCACCGCCAGCCCAGCAGCGAGCGCAGAGTGATGCGGCTGGGTCCAGTGTGCTGTGCCAAGCACCTGGCCTTGGGCCTGGTCTGTCCCACCAGCAGGGAGGACAGGGGAGCAGGGAATGCACGAGACTCAGGGGCTGATCCAGCGCTCACACCGGGGACCAACGAAAGCAACGCCCG